AGCAAGTCATGTAGCAAATGGGCAAGAGTACAGAACAAGGTCTCTTCCTGGTGAGAGTTGGGTTAGTGACTCAGGCTCTTTCAAGGTGACTGATACCTATTTAGACTATCAATCCCTGATGCCCATCCCTAGGGAAGTATGAGGCTACAAGGCTGCCCTTAAACTCTCAGTGATCCTTCTGGCTGAACCTTTGAGTGCTGGGTTTATAGCCGTGCCTGTTGAGGCAAAATGTTTTAGATTACCCCTTCCAAAGAAATTGGAGGGGCCAGGGAGATGGCTCAGTGGAATAGACACTTCCCTGGCAAGTGCAAGGACCTGAGTTCAATTCTTGGTTCTGCCAGGAAAAAAAAAAAAGAAAAGAAAGAAATTGGACATTCATGACTTTCACCTGTAAAATGAACTATTCTCTTTCTCAGGGCTGGCTATCCTTTTTCATATAAGCCAAGAGCAAGATGAAAATATTCCACAGATTAAAAAACACATGCAAAAAACAAACAAACAAACAAACACCCCACATACAAACTTCTAGCTCCAAACAGTAATTTTTCTCTCTCTCTCTTTTTTTTTTTTTTTTAGTAATTTTTCTCTTGAGGACACACTATTTCTCTGAATGTACACTTTTATACTTCTGCCTATTAAATCCCTTTATGCTTTTTTTTAAGCACTAGGGATTGAATTTAGGCCCTTGTGCTTGTCATGCAAGTGCTTATTCTATTGAGCCATCTCCCCAGCCGCCAGGAAATTCTTTTCACTGGGCATGTGGCTTATCTCTGCCTGTTGTCTGCCGCTCTCCCCCTCAATGTCCCTCCCCACCTGAAGCCCTCCTGTAATTCCACATAAATTCCTGGTCTGTGCTGCCATCTCTTTTCTGGAATACTGCCCTCTTACTAGCCACCGTCATTCTGCCTCATTATCCAGATGGAGCAAACTTCCAAAGCCTTGGAAGGACACGTGCGTCGTTCTAGCCCAATCCCCTGGACTGCTCTGGCCAAACGTTCAGCTTATTCTACACTGTACTCTGCATGATTCCTGTAGACATGATAGAACCAAATTTGAATTTAAGCACTACTTGTGTTGCTTTTGTTTCCTTATCTGTAAAATGGTGGTAGGGCCACTGACTTCAAGGGATGTCAGTAAGAGAATGCAAAAGAGAATGATATGCTTTGAAGGGGAGTGGGGAAAGAGGAATGACTTAGAGGAATTTGGGAATGTCCCTTCTGACCTTGCGTGTGGGCCACGGTCCTCTCACCACTCCCAAGGCTGGGCCAATTTCTTGTTGTCCAACTTACTTCCTCTCATATGTTTGTTAGCCTGTCACCTCTTTCTCTGTATCTAGCTCTTTCCAAGCTTGTGTCTTATCTCTGTAACTACACACATCTGCTAGCAGGGTGCTTCACGGAGTGCCTGCTTGGTAAAAAAATGGGCCTGGGTGAAGAAGCCCAACATCTCCCTGAAACTTAATTTTTCATCTTTAAAATGTGGACAGTGGGGGCCCGCCCATTAGCTCAGTTGTTTAAGTGCCTGCTTAAAGGAGGCAGTCAGTTTCTTTGAGCGGTGGTTCCATTCCCACATACTCAAGGCAACCCAGACCAGCGCTGCTGCAGGTCAATGGGGAGCTACAAAAAAAAAAAAAAAAAAAAAAAAAAAAAAATGTGGACAGTACAGCCAGGGAGATAGTTCAGTAGAATAAGCGCCTGACTGGCAAGCGCAGGGTCCTGAGTTCAATCCCTGGTACCTCACAAAATAAATAAATAAAATGTGAACAACAAAAAAAAAAAATGTAAGTTTAGGGGCTGGGGAGATAGCTTAGTAGAATAAGCGCTTGCCTGGCAAGTGCAAGGGCCTGAGTTCAATCCCTAGTTCTGCCAAAAAAAAAAAAGAAAAAGGAAAAAAGAAAAGAAAAGAAAAAAGTTTAGGGCCAGCCAAATAGCTCAGCAGATTATTTATTTATTTATAGGCTGAACTGGGGATTGAACTCAGGCCCTTGCACTTGCCAGGCAAGTGCTTATTCTACTGAGCCATCTCCCCGGCTCCACAGCAGATTACTTTTATTTTATTATTTTTGTGGTACCAGAGATTGAACTCAGGTCCTGTGCTTGCCAGGCAAACAGTTATTCTACTGAGCTATCTCCCCAGGCCCTAGATTTAAAGTGCCTGCAAGCAGGCACAGGAGGGGGAGGAGTAGTGGGGGGTTGGGTTTCAATCCCTGGGCCTGCTGTGCAGGTGTGCTGAGATGGCAATTGAGACTGGGCATGGTGGTGAGCGCCTGTAATCCCAGCTCTTAGGAGCCTGTAAACAGGTGAATCACTATGAGTACGATCTAGTAGTGAGATACTAGACACCCTGTAGACCCTTCCCTAAAATAAAAAAAAAAAAAAAAAAAGTTTAATGGGCATGTTGATGCACCCCTACAGCTTCAGCAAATGGGTTGGGGGCGAAAGTGGCTGAGGAAAGAGGATCCTCAGTTTGAGCCCAGTCTTGACAATTTAATGAGATACTATCTCCAAATAAAATAATAACTGGGTGTGGGGTGCATGCTTGTAACTCCAGCATTCAGGAGGCAGAGGCAGGAGTGTCTCCTGTTTGAGGCCAACCTGGGCTACATAAATGAGTTCAAGACCAGCCTGAACTATATATCCAGTCACTGTCTCAAACCCCCTTCTCCTGAAGGAGGGTATGACGAGGGTATAACTCAGTGTGAAGGCCCCAGGTTTCATTCCCAGGACCCAAAACCAAAAATAATTCTCCACATCCCAAAATATGGCACTGTGGCATGCTGAGAACCTGGAAGGAGCGCAGAAGGACGTTGGAAGGAGATCAGAAGCTGCCTGATCTTTTCCTGCCATTCTTTTGTTCCCTTTTGTGCTACAAGGCAGGTCATAGAAACTAGAACTCTTCTTCCCCAAAACCAGGCACAAAATTTAGACATATCACTTTAACCTTCTTTCCAGGTTTCTGTATAGAAGATGACTAGAGAGAAATTGTCTGATTTACTGTGCTTGTGGTTGATAGTTCATAAGACCCTCATTCTAAAAGGGGCCCCTCCCTATGTCTAGTAGGAAGGAAAACCAGAGAGACCAAAAAGAATGTGAACAGACAGGCCTTACTGGGTTTCCCTCTGTTACATTACATCATTTACTTTTGTCCAATCACGTATCTACATGACTGGCTGTTCAGTCTTCATAGAAACTAAGCATGAAATAGCTTTCCCTGCATCTTTGGATCTTCATTCCTTAAAGCTCCTATGTCACATAAAACTTTGATTAAATAAACCTGTCACATTTTTCTTTCCTTATCCTGTTTTTAGGAGTGTTGGCTATGATGACTTAACTTGGGGGGGGGGAGAAGACATTGTATACATCTCTCCACCTTCATCTGGCTGCACCAAATTCAAAACAAAATTACAGTTCCTGCCAAGAGGCACACATAAGATGTAATTCACTCCTCTGGTGGACACTGAATAGTGGGAGGGACAGCTAATTGTGAGGCAGGGTTGCTAGCAGCTAGAACTTTTCACTGTTTGACTTTTCAAATGAAAAATGGCTATGTGTGTTTGCAGGTATGCTGTGTTCTCCTTCCCAATCTGACTCTATTTTTGTGAGAAGAGCATTCTAGATCACAGCTTGTGAGACACGTATACACTAACCACCTGGCGCTTTTATAAGAGAAAATTAATTTGTGGCTCAGAGAAGTGCAGCGACTTGCTAAGGGTTGGTCAGTGAGCGAGGGCAGAGTAGGATGTCTGTGAACAGCTTCCCTGAAGCCAGATCTTGGCATAGTGTTGATATTGCCCAGCCAATAGAGATGGTAGCGTCTGGCCACCTTACAAAACCTGCCGTAAGGGGTCTCTGCCTACACCTGTCTTGAGTAGGGCTTTCAGGTGCAGCCTCCATTCTGATCCCTCTGAAAATATCAGAGAAGGGCAGGGTTGTGCCTTACATGTGCCAGGTTCCGTCTCTTTCTTTCTGGGCCCAGCACATGGCCTGGCACTTAGGACATGCCTTGCAGGTGATGATGTAACCAATGGGAAGAGATGGCTTGTCTTGCTTGTGGGGTGTGTGTGTGTGTGTGTGTGTGTGAGAGAGACAGAGAGAGCGAGAGAGACAGAGACAGAGAGAGACAGAGAGACAGAGAGAGCGAGAGCGAGAGCGAGAGAGAGACAGCACAAGCGAGCATGTGGCTTGCATGAGTTTATATAAATTCCTATGGCCAAGGGTTTCCACCTTTTTAATGCATGAGCCCTTTGGCAGCCTAGGGAAGCATGGTCACCCCTCCCTAGAGTACTTTTGGGGTATAGTTTATTGAATACAGAAACACACACATACGGAATGGTGCACACATCTAAGGAGCATTTTCACAAAGTGCATATACTCACAACACAAGAAATCAACCGTGACCAACGCCCAGGATATCAAGCCCTGTCCAGTCTCCCCTTCTCAAGAGGAGCCTCTCTCCACAACGCTTTCAAATGCAAATTTCTAGAGTAGGGAAGCATTCAGTTTTAGCGTATGGTGGGGCGGGGTTCTGTGCTTGTGGGCCTGAAGGCAAGGGTGTGAGTGTGTGGGTGATGGTGGTGAGTGTGGAGTTACAGGAGGTGCATAAGGGTGGGGCATTTTGTAGGGGTCTGAGCGAAGGGTGCTGGGCAGGTTAGGGTATTAACGTGGCACTGGGATGTGGGGCTTGTCCAAGGGGTTTGGGCTTGGGTTATGGGATCGTATCCGACGGCAGGCTGTCCTCGCAGGGTCTCCATAAGAAGGGGAGGCGGTGGGTACGACTCCCGGCCAGGAGGGGCGGGGCAACGCAAGGGTTGGGGGGGTGTGGTAGGGCAACTGGGCGGGGCCTTGGAGGGGCTCTGCTGGGGTCGCAGGGGCGTGGCCTCCGGGGGGCGGGACCGGCGGGCGCGCGCACGCCGCCGGCGCGCCCCCTCCCGGCCGCCATGTTGGCTGGTGTGTGGGTGTCAAACGGAGCCAGACGCGGCCGCAGCGGCGGCGGCAGTGGGAGCTCCGCGGGCTCGGGTCGACCCGGTCTGTTCGGCGCTCTTGGCGGCCGCAGCCGCGCATCCGCGCCGGAGCGGCAGAGTGGAGGTGAGCCGGCACTCGGGGAGCTCGAGCTCCTGAGCGGGGCCATAGGGCGCGGGGCCTCTCTTTCTAGGCACGGACGCCCCCGAGGCACGGGTAGCCCCCACCGGCACCTCTTTAGAGCTTGCACCCCTGCTGCCTCAACTTGACCCCACTTTGGGAGGGACTCTGTTCTTTCCATCCAGGCTCCGCCCCACAGGCTAGAGCGTGCCCCCCGCCCCACCTGGATCCCGCTTTGCGCTGCAGGGACCCCTGTTTCCTTATCCGGGAGCGCTTCCTTTTATATCCTTGGTGTCTGCGGCGTCTTCTACGCCCACCTCAAGTCCGGAAGCCCCTTCAGTTTGGGGCAGCGCCGCCCCCCACCCTAGAGCACATTCTGACCCCTCCAGGGCCGGGCGCCCCTTCCTCCAGAACCCGGACGGAGCAGCCGCCCGGCCTCGCACCAGGAATCGGGGGAAGGGTCCCCTGCTCGTCAGGATTTGGGGCTGGAGGGTGGCCCTTTTTTCTCCTGGCGGACTAGGTTCCCCCTCCCCAGCCTCCGCCCCCACAACACCGAGGGGACGGAGGTGGCAGAGCCAGGCTCCAGCTGCCTTTTGTTTCGCGTGGGACGGCAGAGACCTGGCCTGGCGGCCCAGCTTCGCTAATTGGGGTGGGTGAATGGGTGCGTAGGGCCAGTGTGTTCCGAGAGACCCTTCCTCTCTTTTCTCTTGGGGCGGCTCTCGGAGCGGGAGCGGGAGCTGAGCGTTTGAGAGAGGCGGGGCCTTCCTAGCGGAGTTGGTGCCAACAGGTTTTTGTTTGCGACCTGAAGTTGGCCCAGAGGCTTTCCAGAGGGGCAACCTGAGCTCCCTAGAAACCCCAGCAAGGCCTGTGAAAGCCATTTCTCTGCCGTTCCTCCTGGCTCCTTCACTGTTGTGCTGACTTGGACGAATTTGAAGTCCGCTTTAAAGTGAGTAAGGGGCTAAATCATCATTGGGTTTTTATTAAGGGAAACCGAGGCCCAGAGATGCAGTGATTTGAGCAAGGTCACACAGCAGTACTGTGTCAGTACCGCAGTTGAAAGCTCAGTCTCCAAGTTTTTCCACAACAATTAATAATTGTTCCAAAAGAGGGGGTCTGGGTATGTAGCTCAGCGGTGCAGCCCCTGCTTGGCAGTCTCCAGGTCCTGAGTTCGACTCCCAACACCCATCCCCCAGACCACTATAAAAGAGAAATGTTCAGGGCTCCTTCCGATGTCTTGCCTTCTATTTTTAACATTTATACAAGAAAATGGGCAGGAACAGATGAGAAGTATGACTTCTTTCCACCCCCAGAAAATAGCTTTGGAAAGAAGAGATTGGAGCAGGGGGTTGAAATGGTTGAAAAAGATTAATTTTAATTGTTTTCATGACCCTCCGTGACGTAATGTAATGAAAATTGGAAAGAAAATGTGCATATTGTGGCTGTAGATATAGAATGATAACTGCTGACAAAACCACATGCTAAAATTCTGCACAACAGTGACTTGAGTTAGCACTGATAATTAAGTTTTCATCTGTATTTAAGATGAAAAGGGACTCAATTTATTTCTGAATGGTACTTGTTTAAGGGCTTAGTTTTGGAACAAATTGGAGTAGGGAGACCACCTAGACATTCTCATCTCATACTGGCATTTTTCTTTTCCAATATTAGTGTTTATTTGTGTTTCTACTTTTAAAATTGGGCTACTCATCCATATCAGTTTTATTGGGCTATTCTTTTGTAGGTATTTGCTAATGATAGTTTGGTGAAGTGTACATAACCATAAGGCATGAGACATGATTGCCTGCATCCTGCAAATCCCTGGACCAGGAGCAATTTTGGATAGTCGTATGAAGTTTACTGATCTCTCCAAGGGATAATACCTGGCATGCTGTATGGAGTCACAAAAATGACCCATCCTTTGTAAAATCCTCTGTAGAAATAGGGTTGCCTTTTATGTAACCGCCTTTCATAATGAGGTGTGGATTTCCCAAGAGTTGAGATTCTGAGAAGGGTCCTGCAAAAATAGCTGAAAAGTGTTTGGGGACTCTTAATGGTTTGTTTTTTCCTGAGATTAAGGAAGTCTTTTTTTTTTTTATTTTTAATTTCCAGTTCTTTGTGGTTTAAAGTGCTTAGAGAATGGATTTCATGAAAACTTATGGAAACTGGCTGGTCATAGTGGTGCACTCCTGTAATCCCAGCACTCAGAAGGCTGAGGCAGGGGATCGCTGCAAGTTTGAGACCAGCCTGGGCTACTGAGTGAGCTCAAGGCTAGCCTGAATTTGGATAGTGAGACCCTGTCTCAGGAAGACAAAGACAGAAAAAACCTCGGGGACCTCCTTAAAGTTTTCCTGTTTTTGTTTTTTGAGGCAGCGTGGCCTTGAATTCACTTTGTAGTCTAGGCTGACCTCAAACTCAAGAGATCCTCCTGCCTCAGCTTCCTGAGTGTTAGGATTACAGGCATGTACCACTATGCTGGGCTCCACTTTTAATTAATTTATTTGTGTGTGTGTGTGTGTGGCCAGCTCAACCCACCAGGGGGTGGGGCTGGCTGGCATGTGGTGCTGGGGGATTGAACCGTGGTCCCTGTGCTTTGCTAAGCTTGTTCTAGGTAGGTGCTTTAGACCACTGAGCCATCTCACCAGCCCCCGTCCACTTTTAAACTTTGCTAAGCTTTCAGGCAATTTGTTACTGTTCCTCAGAGCCTTCCTATAATGTTGATGGGATGTGAATGATTAGTTTATGACATAAATACCTGGTGATCCTGAGCCTTGGGAAATCAAAAAGCTTGAATTTGAAGTGTTTGAGGTTGGAGAGTATATGAGGAATTACATAGTTCTACTCCTTTAATTTATGTGTTCTTTTGAACAAACTTCGGTCAGGCCTTTGTCAGCCAGCTCCACCAGGGCTCTCTTCAGCTGTCTAGCCTTCCCATCCCATGTCTATTGGAGAGCTTTGCACATTGTGTTCCTGCCGCCCCCCCCCCCCTTTTTGGGGGGAACCGGGGATTGAACTCAGGCCCTTGCACTTGCCAGGGAAGCGCTTATTCCACTGAGCTGTCTCCCCGGCTCCTCTGGGGCCCTTTTGACCCTGACATCTTTGAGGTCAGTGGTTGCGTTTGTCTTCTCTAGTGGTTAGCTCAGTCTATGACATAGGATAGATACTTGGTACAGGTTTGTAATAAGTATTCCTGGAGGCAGTGGAACACATTTTTATTGATTCCTTACTATAGGCTCTCCACAGTTCTGTTTTGGTCTTGTTTAAACCACTGCTATTGATCCAGCAGTCAGGTACCTGTTGCACAGGTATTAATTCCCTTGTAGGGATGAGGAAACAGAGCCTGTGTGTTTAAGATCACATAGTAAGTGATGAGACTAGGATTTGCACAGGTCCGTTGGACTCCAGAATGTTCTTATACCTGTGCTTTCATTTGAGAAACTGAGTCTCACAGGAGTGAAGAGATGTACTGCAAATTAATAAGGGCTGTGGGATGATATATAATTAAGATTGTTGAGGGTGGAGAGAGCACATTTTGTTTTTGTCAGATGTGCTGTGAAATGACTATTCCATCTGTTCAGTTTTTGAAAATTGACAAGTTTTCTGATAAGTTAGTGGAATATTTTTCTTAATGAGCTTGTTCATGGTGTCTAAAAATAGAAATTTAAATACAGCGAAATAAGCTGTATGCAGTTAAATGTATGTTCAGTCACTTCCCTTTGTAGTCATGTTTGATTGTACCTATTTCCAGTCAAGTTTTCCATGTTTATTTATTTATACTTGGCACAAGATCTTACTATGCAGCTTGGACTTGTAGTGATCCTCCTGTCTCAGCCTCTCTAGTGCTGGGATTACAGGTGTGAGCCACCACACTAGTTTTGGTGGCTCATATGGTGCACCTGGGGTTCTGGGGCTGGCATAGCATGTGGTACCCGGGATTGAACCCAGGTCCTTGCACTTGTCAGGCAGGTGCTTAGACTGCTGAACTATCTCCCCAGCCCAAGTTTTTCATATTCTGATTTAACATTTATTTATTGATTGATTGTGGTCCTGGGGACTGAACCCAGGCCTTTGAACTGAGGTGTGGCCCTTGTAGAATTTTTAAATAGTGGTTGATAAGTTACTAATTGTTCAGACTGGGCTCAAATTTAGGATCCTCTTGCTTCAACCTCCCAGAGTACTAGGATTGGGCTGGCCCACACCTGTAATCCCAGCATCCGGGGAGGCTGAGGCAGGAGGATTTTTGCAAGTTCAAGACTAGCCTGGGCTACAAAGTAGGTTCAAGACCAGCCTGAATTGCATCACTAGATCCTGTCTGAAAAAGATACAAGGGCCGGGGAGACAGCTCAATGGCATAGCACCTGACTGACGTGGATAAGGTTCTGAGTTTGATCCCTGGTACCACAAAGAAAAAAAAAAAAATGATAGAAAAAAGAAACAGAATAGGGCTGGGTATATAGTGCAGCGACATAATTACCTGCTTAGCAAGTGCAAGGTCTCCAGTTCCATCCCTGGTACTACAAACAAAACAAAACAAAGACAGTACTAGGATATGCAAACCATGTATCACCTCACCTGGCTCTTGTTCAGAAATCTTGAAAGCTGTTTCAGCAGCCTTTAAGAAAACAAAAGAGAAACAATTCATTATCATTTCACATTGGCATATAATATAGGGATTACCACCCATCTGTGAAAGGAAAGTCTGAGACCCAAGAGAGGTTAAGTAATCTGAGAGGAATTTGGCACAGCCAGGATTCAAACCAAGGGTCTGTGAGTCCCAGACCAGGATCCCTTCTATTCTAGCAGCTGTCATAGAAAATGCTGATAGCTTGGCCGTCTAAGTTCCTGCGTGGCTAGCACAAGGACCTGAGTTCGATTTCCAGTACCGTGTGCCATTCTGGCTCTGGAACCTGGGTGCAAAACTGGGTGTGGTGGTGCATGCTTGTTATCCCAGCCCTGGGGAGGCTGAGACCGGAGGAGAATCAAGAGTCTGAACTCCATTTAGAGACCCT